TCCAGCAGCAGCACAGATCACAGATATCAACAAGGTCTCCTGTGGCAACCTGATCACGGACATCAGCATGACCTCTGGCTGCAGCAGGGACCGCAGATACCAACACGGCCATTCTTTCGAGGAGGCTTAATTCAGAAACCAAACTGTTCTTCATCCCAGATATCTTGCTGCTCATAGTCAGGGTGACTATGCAGTTGGGCAGGCAGCACCCTAAGAAGCAGTGCCTGTGAGAGCTCCAGGCTGCTGTCCATCATCTTGCCCTTTGCGCTGGCCACACTGCTGCTCCCCGGGGGGCACAACCTTCATGTTTGCCGCCCACAGATACATGCTGCCTCATGTTCTCCTCTTCCCAGCAGGCCAAGCAGCATGAGTGGCAGCAACAATGGCGGCTCCACGCTTCGGGTTGAGCGGCAGCACTGGCCTTTTAGGCAGCAACGGGACAAGAGAGCTCAGCGGTGCCCAGAGCCTCCTGGCAGCCTGAGGACCGGAAGCCATGCTCCTGTACCTGTCACCACTACCACACCTCTAGTCTCACTTCTTCCACCCTCTTTCCCATCTCTCCACCACACATTCATTTGACAAAGTGGAGTTGCAATCCGCAGTGTGTCCAAACAGCTTTACATACAAATACTATTTACATACAAATACTATTGCGGTAAGTCATTGATCTGGCTCAAGGTTTCTGAAGCCCCATGAATACTGGAATCTCCCTGAGACTTGTCTTGGCTATCCTGTTGTTGCCCAGAGTCAAGGCGATCATGCACTGGGCACTGCATCCAGGGGCAGGATCCGAGTGAGCTCTCTCGGACTCCCGAGGGAGCTGCTAACTCCATTTTGAAGGCCAGAACCATTATGCTGTATTGTTACAAATAAGCTTCCATTTTACTGTAAGAGCCGAGTTGCTGGTTTTCGTCTGTTTCCTGGAACCTGGCCTGCCGCAACCCATGACCTTGACTTACTTTTGAGAATAAATACCTTTATGCTCCCTAACCCTCCCTAATCACGTAGAGAACACAGTTCTCTTTGAAACTTCTGTATTTCCCTACTATCCTGTCGTGTCTCTTCTGTAAACCTACTTTACAACTACTCACAATTTTACTCCTTAAAAGGGGCCCAAAAAATGGATTCAGGGCTGCTCTCTTTAACTTAGGAAGCAGTTGCTGGCCAGCTCTTGGGTGCATCACAATAAAATCAAGTTTGCTTCCAATGTGGCTCAAATTGTAGTAGTGGTCTTATTCTCCCCCTGCAGAATTAGCACTCCCCAGGCAGACCATCATGCTTGCTGCTCTTGAGCTCCCGGGATCCCTCACTTCTTCCCCAGCAGGGAGAGCCCCAAGACTGGCACCAGCGGAAGAGCCACGCTGAGGGCGGGGCTTGCAGGCTGAGCTGTGATGCCGCCTAGTGGACCACTGGGCGAGGTGAGCAGGTGGCCCAAGTCTCCCAGCAGCCCGAGGACGGGCCCTGCCGGGCAACAACATGCTGCTTTGTTTGCAGGCATGCTCCCGTTCATACCACTGCAGAGATTCTAGTTCTGAATCCCTCTGCTGCCGGCACCGCCCCTTTCTGCCATTTTATTTTCCAGTTCCATGGAAGCACTTTTTAAGAGCATCCTCCCATGAGACCTGTGGTCCCAGAGATACTGTGCGCTCCTCAGGCTCATCGTCCACTGCCGAAGCCTCCACCATGGGAGCCTCCATGGGTCTCTCAGGCTCCTCCGAGCGGCCCCACAGCCTCATGGATGCCACTGCTGCCATCTTTCAGCTTGTTTGCTTGTTTGTGTTTGTTTGTTTGTTTTTTCAATGGTCATATAGCAAATAAAGGTCAGAACTACAATTAAAACTCAGATCTGTCAGAGTTCATTAATTATGATGTCCTACAGCAACAAGAGACACCAGCCATTCAGGCTGTCGTTCTATATGGAAGATTTTTTTCTTTAAAACTCTAGCTATAAAACAGAAAGGTATGGCTGGGTGGTGGTGGCACATGTCTTTAATCCCAGCACTCAGGAGGCAGAGGCAGGTGGATCTCTGAGTTCAAGGCCCGCCAGGTCTACAGAGTGAGTTCCAGGACAACCAGGGCTACACAGAGAAACCCCGGGAAAGAGTGGGCAGGGAGGGGGACATCAGTATGGAAAATTGGAAGTCAAAGGACCTTCTTTCTTGTGCCAACTCTGTTCATCTCTACCCTCATGACTTCACATCAGTGTCTCTCTGTTTCACACCTGTTATAACACAATCCCTGAGGCTGGAGAACTTACAAAGTAAAGAAGTTCACTTGAGTTACAATTCCAGCAGCTGAGTCCTAACAGACACCTGTTTCCTGTCAAAAGCCTTATGTCTTCTCCCTTCATTGAGAAACAGAGAGGAAGCAACCAGAAGCAGAAGGGACTAGCGGATGGGGTGGCCTTGCTTGGAAACAACCCACTCTAGCCTGTTACTGCAGATCAGCACTCATTTATTTGGAGGGCAGGGGCTCCCGATCTAATTATCTTGTATTTGGCCCCACCCCTTACAGCATCCATTGCTCCAGTGCCACCACCCTCCTGGGGATCAAGCTTTCAGTACATGAATCTGAAGGGACAAACATTCAACTGTATACAAACCACACTTTTCCTTCTGGATACATGGAGTTGTACCATGGCCAGAATCTTCTGTATAACGTGCCCAGGTGTTCTGTGTAACCTTGTGATTTAATCTCACATCTTTGTACCTGAGTGGGCTGAACAACAGGCCTTAGAGTTGAGGTGAAGAGTCACAATAGCTTTTGTGCTTCAGCCTCAGGGTGGCAGGCAGAAGAGATCTGAGTGAGGAGACTGGAAATCTCTAGAACAGAGGGAAGTCACAAGGAGCTGATGGAAGTGCTCTCGACTTGCAGGTGTCTTTGCCACTGCCCCACCAGTGTTGAGACCATCTTCCCGGCTGACCCCCTGCAGACTTCTGTCTGCTAGCTCTTCAGGCAACAGCCCTGACTTTCAATTGAGCCCTGCCTTTGGCAGAATTCTTCAGTGACTCCTTGGTCTTCTGGGGATAAGGCCAAATTACCCTGTGTACTGGTCTCTCCCAGGCACCCAGCCTCGGCTCTCAGCATCTCACGCAGCCTCACAAAGCTGTATTCCTTGTAACTACCCCCCTGCACCCTCACCAGGACCCACAACCTTCCGAGAAGCGCCAGGCGTCTGCACTTGCCACCTTCTCAGCCTAACCACACCCCCTCGCTTCTTTACACCTTGCTCCCAGTATATCTTATCGCAGGCTTCACTAGTCCTGGGACATGTCGCGATATTTAATTTGTATTTTAATAAATAAAGCTTTGCCTGAAGATCAGAATGCAAAGCTAAGCCACTAGAGGCCAGGGAGTGATGGCACACACCTTTAATCCCAGGATTTGGGAGACAGAGGCAGACAGATCTCTGTGAGTTCAAGGCTACCCTGGGGTACACAAGATTGATCCAGAAACAGATTCAGGTGGTGGTGGCGGCTCACACCTTTAGTCCCAGTGTTTGGGAGTCACACACTTTTAATCCCAGCACTGTGGAGGTGGAAACAAGAACAGTATGGCTGGGCAGAGAGAGGAATATAAAGGGAAAGAGACAGAAACTCTGTGGATTCTGAGGATTCGTGGAGACAGGATCTCACCCTTTCGATCTGAAGATTTGGTAGAGGTAAAAGGTCTCTCTAGTGGCTGGGCTGTTTTGCTTTTCTGACTTCCAACTTGAACCCCAATATCTGTCTCTGGGTTTTTATTAGTCATGCTACAGAGACAGGGTTTTCTCGTGGGCTCCCCAGGCCCACCTCAGAGTTATGGGTCACAGCAATTATGACAACGTATTACAATCTTCTGAGCTACATTGCTACACTGAGACCATGGACCATGCTCCCTTTCTCTTCATATTTTCTGCATTCTTTGTGAACAATGGCTCAATAAAGATCCTTTATGAATCTTTATTGTACAAATGAAGGAAGGAAAGTAGGGGGCCGCGCCAGCAAGCACTCTGTAGCCCCATTTTGTAAACATCAGTTCTGTCAGATGGCTTTAGTAGCGGGGAATGTGAAGACAGAGTGACGTTTAGACAATCTAGAAAAATGTGGCATACATGACAAAGGCATCGTGTGTCACTGAGCTGAGTGGTGTCCTCTCAAGCTGCACCATTAGAAGGAGGGATCCAAGGGATTAAAACTGGAAACGGCAAAGAAACCATTAACCTTTTAGCCTGAGGAGAGACATCTCTTAGGAAGAAGAGGATACATCCTCGTCTCTTTTCCTTCTGACCACAGACCGAGAGCTCACAAATCAAGAAAGAATGTGTTCACTCACAGGAAGGGGCCACATCTTCAAGCTGTTGATGTGTGTGAGGCTGTGCCCCAAAAAGGAAACAGGGAGCTGCTCATCTCCTCAGGGAAAAGCTAGGTTCATTGGTGGAGCAGCCGTGGGAACACGCAGCACTGGGGACAGAGGACTCAGGACACCACCCTGATGAAGGTTCATCAGCTTGTATGCTAGCAGGCAAGAGATGGGAGAAGACACAATGTCTTTAGAAACATCTAGTTTGCTCAGTAATGCCTTTGGGACCAGTGGGTTCAGCTGGGATTCAGCCAAGCCAAGAGCACTGTCCTGCAGGACACCCTGCCAGCACACGCCAGACTACAGGTGTGCCATGTCTCCTACAAATCCAGAAATCATGACAAAAGGTGTCATGTTTCCTTTACAGATCTCACAGGTGAAAGTCAGGGACCTGGACCCTGTAGGTCAAATCCCTTCTTTTCTAGGGAACCACTGGCTATTGGTCCCAGGCACTTCTGGCTCCCCTCAGCACTGCATCCATTTTGACAGCTTCATGCCGCACCACCCTGTCCCCAGCTCCGTGTTGGACTCTGGAGACAGATGGACAGCCAGCTGGAAGCTGTCTCAGCATGCCGTGCTCACTGGCATGGGACCCAAACCAAACTCCCAGGAAGAAGGTCTCCAGAAACCTGCTGGAGGCACGCAGAGTGGGGCACCAGTTTCCAGAAGGTTCCAACTCCTTTAATGCTGACTGGCCTAGGGAAGGCTTGCTCCGGGACAGACAGACATACGTGGAACTGTTCTGAATGTGCCTGTGTCTGAATATGTCCCAGATAATAAGGGAGAAGTGTGGCCACCAGATATGAGAGCAGGGACCTTGCCTTGCTGTGTGTGGCCCTGGGTGCTGGGCTTCAGGCAGGGCCTCGATGCCTCTTTGTTGCTGTGTCTTTCTTTTTGGGTGTCCGAGACTGCTTTGGCCTGCTTCCCTGTCCTCGGCCAGGAGCTTTCTGCACAGGGAACACCTGAGATGTGCTTCGATTGAGTTGGAAGTTGACCTGCAAGGGCAAAGCAGAAACTAAGCACCCGTTTGGACTCCCCCATCACACCCGGTTCTAATGGTAGGTGCTACAGATTTGGCAAGTATTTCCCAAAGAGTGGTGCAGAACCAATCACCGATGGCGTGAAGTGTGTGGCTGGGTGGGCTAAATAGTAGCAAAAATCCTATCTACACCTCTAATCACATTTCTGTTTATACCCTGCTGAGGGCAAGAGAGATGAGTGAAGCGGTCTTAATCTCTATTTCCTCCTAGTGGCTGCGTGAGTCACGGGTACCATGCCCATACATGCCGATGAGTGTCTCAACCTTCTGCGGCACTGCTTGGCACTAGGGATAAAAGAGACGACAGAGATTTCCTGGCTAGATCTTTTTTTTTTCTTTCTTTCAGAGATAGGGTCTCACTATGTAGTCCCAGCCACTCAGAACTTGCTTTGTAGACCAGGCTGATCTAGAATTTACAGAAATCCACCTGCCTCTGTCTCCTGAGTGCTGGGATTAAAGGTGTGCATTACCACATCCTCCTGAATTCTTAAGCCCAAGATTACATGGGCATCGGTGTGATCTAAGGGCTGCGTACAACTGTTCTCTAGCCATGGAACACAGATGGAAAGATGCTGTGGACTCGGTGGGGGACACTGGGCGTGGGGCACTGGGTGTGGCTACAGAGCCAGCCCAGGCAGCAGCAGAGGAGGGCGTGGCACCAAGTCCTAACTACACTCCCCTGGGGCTTCCCTGGCAATTTCTTCCTGTAATAGTTTGAACTATTGAAACGGCAGGGAGTTAAAAACACGCCCTGAGTTTCCTGCCTCTTCCATAAAAATCCATAGCCAGGTTTTCTGCTCGTTCTGTAAGGGGAGGAGAGTTGTCCACAACTGTGTGAGACCATTTCCTACTTTCCATTTAGTAAATACATAAACCCGGGAAAGGAAGAGAAAAGAGGAGATAGGCCACAAGAGGAGGAAGGGGCAGAGGAGAAAGAAAGGCTCCACCATCTGCAGAGGGTTGGCGACAGCTGAGAATTCTGGGCCCTGGGAGAGATTTCAATCCTATTAACTGTGAGATGAAAACCCTTTAATAAACATGTTTTTTTTTCTTCCCTAGGGAAAGTGGCTAACTGCTCTAAAATTCAAATGGAAGCTGAGCAGCCGCTAGAGCAATCACTCGACAGAGTGGCAGTGGCTTCTGTTGCTGAATATTCCATCCAAAGGACAGACTGTGCCCCTGGGTTATACTTGACACAGTGAATGGGTATGCTAAGTTTATTTAAAGGATATGGGGGGGATGAACTACTTCAAAATAAGCGTAACTCAAGAGGCCTTGGAGCTGTTTACATTTGGCAGTGAACAGGCTTGCCTACAGTGCACGGTTTATGTGTGTGGCTGCTGCTGGCATTTGATTTTAGGGTGCAATGGGGAAAGAGGGGGATGTGCTCGCTGGGAAATCGGGTTCTGTGTAATGGAGGGCCGTCTTCTCTTCCCCTGGCTCTCAGTATAAATCACATGCCATACAAGAGCGAAGGCCCGAGTTTGAATCCCCACAAGCCACTTAAAGCAAGACTAATCCCAGTGACCCTGCAGCAGGGGTGGAGCATTCCAGGCTAACTAGCCTGAAGCACACATACTGTGTGGTGAACATCAAAGACACACTGCCTCAAATATGGTGGCAGGCCAGGCTGACACTTGAAATCATCCTCGAACTGCCAAGCAAGTGTCGTGACGTGTCCACACCCTATCCTCCCAACACATGCTCACACACATCATATACATCACACACACACACACACACACACACACACAGAGAGAGAGAGAGAGAGAGAGAGAGAGAGAATATGTGGGAGGTGTTTTTGGTGGGGAGGCAATGATCTGTAAGTTTTGGAGGAATTTTTAGAAGACCTGAAGCTTTCTTTGCTCTGTTTGCTTATAGGGTTCTGCGCACAGGCAGGGAGCATAGAGTGAGTCCCTGAGACACATTAGGAGGTGACTCCCACCCCCACCATCCCCCCACTGTGTGATACTCTACTTATAAGTAGTTGTGAAGGTTAAAATGGATAATTCCTGGAAGATCTTATTATATAGTATCTGATGCCCAGAAACTACCCAAAAGATACTGCATACTGCATTCAAATATATTAGCCACCTGAGGGAGTGGAGGGCTGACATTCGTGGCCCCTTAATGATCTGAGGTTCTGGCATAATATGATTGACAAGGAAAAGTTCTAGGCTCTAAGTCAATAGTTCTTTGCTTCTTGTCCTACCTATAAAGGAGAGCTGTAGAGAGTCGAGAATTGGAGGTGGCTGGTCCTTGGTGGCAGCATCGGGGAAAGTGAGCCCGAGATCACAGGGCACAGACGGCTTGCAGAGCGCCACCTAGTGGTGGACCCTGTTAATGGCCTTGAAAGATGCAATCAGGGCTGCCTTGGGAATCTGCAGTGCCCCAATGCTTACTAACTAGCCTTGTGCACCTCTAAGGACCTGTGCCTTGTCTTTGCAATCCTTGAGAAGGAAGTGTTAGCACTAATATACAGAGGGAGCAGCGGATAAGAGAGACAGGCTGTGCCAAAGAGACAAATCAGGAAAGTCAGGGGGAACCCAGCAACGGGCTGTGTAAGATGCTGCATGACATATACAGATCAGGTTACATACAGCTCAGCCGGACTCACCAGAGTTGGTCCCGCAGGCCCCACGGTCACAATCACTGTTTGGGGGTCGTACCCTGGTGCCTTGGCAGTGACAGTATAAGTCCCCGGAAGCAGCAGACGGAAGTAATCTCCATGCTCACCTAAACATCAGAAGGATGTAACTCAACCAGCTGACTTCAAACCTACTTCAGAAAGAATCTGGCTGTGACAGCGATCTGGGGGTCTGACCTGACCACGAGCCTGTTTTTTGGGTTTTGTTTGTTTGTTTGTTTTTGTTTTCTTGCAGCATGATGAAACCTGTAAACAGTTAAACCATTCAGAAGTTCCTTGGACTGAGTTACTCCTGGGAAGGTTCCCTTGTGCTCTGCCTCAAACCACCGTCCGTTCTGGATCCTGGGTCTCATACAGATACATGCCCACTAGAAGTCGCCCGGAAAGAGAGAAGGTGGAAATGTCTGTTAATATTCTGCCTGATAAGAAAACTTCGAGCCCTCTGACGTTTGAAAAACCATTGCAAAGAAACAGTTTCTGTTTGAAGAAATAGTACCCCACGCCTAAAGTTGTCTAGAAGCAGATTTCACCAGAGCGAGCAGAAACGACTGTGGTGAAGAGCTGTCAAAGAGAGAGGCCGGCTGTCCTGTAGAACTGTGGCTTCTTCAGAAGCTGGACCGAGGCCCTGAAAAAGCTGAACGGAGCACAATCTGTACTAACAATCCTGGGGTCCGGCAGACAATCTGTACTAACAATCCTGGGGGTCCAGCATACAATCTGTACTAACAATCCTGGGGTCCGGCATACAATCTGTACTAACAATCCTGGGGTTCGGGTGAGACAACCAGCACCCAAGAACGTTACACCTGTGAGAGACTAAACAATCACTAACGGTCTGGCTTGAGCATCTTACTTTTCTTTTCTCCCCTGCCTCCCACCGTCTCTCTGTGGTGAGACAGCAGGGTTTCATGTGGCCCAAGCATCAAAGTTAGTATGCAGTCTGGCCTCAAATTCATCATCTTCCTTCCTCAGCCTTCTGAGTGTTGGCATTACAGGAAGTACCACCATGCTGTCCAGAGAATATTGTTTTTAATGTATTTTTAAGAAGACAGGGTCTTATATATAAGTCCCAAACTAGTTATATTGCTCAAGGATGGCCTCAAATATATGGCCTTTTTGCCTCAACCTCTCCAGTTTTGGGATTACAGGTATGCATTACAATGCCTAATTTGTGTGATGCTGGATCTCATGCATTCCAGCTTGGTCTTAACTTCACGCCGTAGCCACGGATGCCCTTGAGTGCTCCCGAATGCTAGGATTACGGGTATGTGCCCCCATGCCTAGCTCATTCAGTGCTGGGATTGAATCCAGAGCATCTTGCATGCTAGACAAGTACTTTACCAAGCTGCACCCTAGCCTTGTAATTTACTTTGAAATACTTTAGCAATGCAATGTGTTATTATGCACACATTGGACAGTTTAGGGTATATTCAGAAACTGTCATTATCTTAACTGGGGGCTCACACTCAAGGGTGATTAGCAATTGTGTTACAAAAGCTCCATTCTAGACACTTCTTCAAAGAGACTCTCCACCTGTAGCTAGCTAACGCCAGGTGCTTTGCTAAGTAGCACATCGATGTCACTAACGAGAGGAGTGACTTCTATTCCGCACTCTGATGTTTTTACAGACCTCCCCACCCTTGCTTGCATGGGTGAGAACCAGAAGCCTGTGCCCCTGGAAAGGTGCTGAGGTCTGATCCTTACACGGTCCTGTATGCAGCTGCTGGGCTGGAAGATTCCCAGTTCCCGGCCAGATAGAGGTGACAGAATTCTTTTAGAACATTGCCTTTTCCTTAAAGAAGTCTGCCACTGAAGAGGCTCTGAGACCACCTTCGAGGACAGGAAGCACAGATTTCATCCAGCCTGAACAGGCAGCATGAGCTATGGGATGACTGCTTGGTAGTTAAGGAGGTTGTTTTGAGAATTGGTCGCCACCAACATCCATGAAATAGAAACTCTTATGAGTGATGAACAGTTAGACTCAGCTGGGGATTTCATGATACCCTTCTTCCATGAGATGATTCTGTACCTGTTGGCATTCACTGTTCCTTGACAGAATCTAGAATCACCTAGGATGAGCTTCTGGGGGTGGCCGTAAGGAATTATCTGTGTTAACTGAGGTGAGACTGCTTACCCACTGTGAACGGCGTCATTCCCTGGCTGGGATCCTGGGCTGTGTGAGCAAAGACAAAGAGCTGGGTCCTCACGTGTACACATTCATCAATCTGTTTCCTGATTATGGATGTGAGTTGGCCAGAGGCTTCAAGCTCCTGCCTGCCACCTTGACCCCCCGACTGGAATGGACTAGACCCTGGAAGTGTGAGCCAGAATAAGCCTTTTCTCCCCTAAGGTGCTTATTTTTTCAGAGTACTTTATCATAGCACCAGCAAAAGAAATCAAGACAGTATCCTTCCAGCAGGCTCTGGGTCAGTCCAAGTCAGTCTAAGATAGATTATCCTCTACTGATGACCTCACCCTAGATCAAGACTGTAGGAGGGGGACTGGAAAGGTAGCTCAGAGGTTAAGAGCAATGACTGTTCTTCCAGAGGTCCTGAGTTCAATTCCCAGCAACCATATGATGGCTCACAACCATCTGTAATGAGATCTGGTGCCCTCTACTGGCCTATAGGATATATGTAGGCAGAATACATAATAAATAAGTAAATATTTTTTTTAAAAAAAAGACTATATATAGGAGGAATCTACCAGCTTTTCATGAACAGATATGTGGAAAACGCCGGAGCCAGAGGGCAGACTAAACATGAATGCCATCATCCTTCTCAGCCTATTCCACGCCATCATTATTAATCAATATCATCAAGCCCAGAAATACTCCCAATAAGACTCTCTTCACAGCGACCCCTGAACTAGGAGTTTTGTTTGCACTGATGCTCGCTGTTCTCAGAACCTGCTTGCTCCAGACAGAGGTGAAAGAATTTTCTCAACTTTGGCTGCTTGGTGCAGCGCTGCTGTTTAGTTCCCATATCCAGCATCCTCCCTTCCTGCAGGGCCTCGCCAGTTCTACTGAAGGAGCCATCCTCCAGTACCTACCTACCTGAAGTGACATCATGATTGATCCCAGTGACAGAAATGACAGCCCCTGTGAGGTTGTTAGAGTTCTCATCAATCACCATGCCCTTGATGCCCTGGTGGACCTGCAGGAGACAGTGGCCAACAGAGGGTTAGAACAGCTGTGCGGGGAGTGGCAGAGGCTCTGGCCCTTCTCGTGGGTCCCCATGGTCCGTCTTCACTAGCGCCATGGCAGCAGCCTCCAGAGCGGAGCTTTCACTGTCCTCCCAACCCCATAATCCCTTCTCCATAGATGGAGTGATTCTGCTAGACTCTCGGCCATCATGTGCTTTCCTTCTCAAAGCCCAACTCAGAAGGCTTTAGGCTCCCGTGCTGGTCTGTAAGGCTACAGTCCCCATCAGCAGCCCGACCTCACGACAGGTACCCTCTGCCGTGTTCCTCAGATCTGCCTCCATTCCAGCCACACTGCTAACCTAAGCTTTTTACATTTTTTTATTAATTTAATGTGTTTGGGTATTTTGTCTGCATGTGTGTCTGTGCACCATGTGCGTGCCTGGTGCCCGGAGAGGGTCTCAGATTCCCTGGGACTAGAGTCCCCAATGATTGTGAGCTCATGAAGGTGCTGAAAGTTAAACTCAGCTCTTCTGAAAGAGCAGCCAGTTCACTCAACTGCCGAGCCATCTCTCCACTTCCTGATGGTCTAATCTTGAATTTTGCTTATATTTAAAAAAAAAAATTAAATGTGATAAGGGCTGTCAAGATGGCCTAGTGGTTAAAGGCATTTGCTGCCGAGCCTGGCAACCTGAATCTGATCCCAGGACCCAAATGGCAGAAGGCAAGAACAGACTCCCTCCTGCAAGTTGTCTTCTGATTTCCAACCAAACGCCATAGCATGGATGCACACACACACACACACACACACACACTCACACACTCACACAACACATTCTCTCACACACACTCTCTCACACACACTCTCTCACACACACACACTCTCACACACATACTCACACACACACACACTCTCTCACACACACACAGTCTCACACACATACTCACACACACACACACACACTCACACTCACACACACACTTTAAATTGTGGCAAAATCCTCATACTGTAAGTTGTACAGCCCAGTTTATCAAACACTATAATGTATGCCCAGCATAACGACTCATTTCCAGAACCCTCGTCATCTGCTAGCACTGAAACTCCTCCCCTTAAATAGTAACTTCCCATCACTCACTTCTGCGTTTTGAAAACCCGCCAATCCCTGGACTCGCCCCAAGCTCAGGACTTGAAATCCCACCAATACCCACCCTGGAAAACCCCACCCCCCCCCTCAAGAAACCCTATATAACTCTGCCTTTCTCTCAGTTTCCTGCTGATTCTCACCTGAGCAAAGTTAGGTAGCTACCTACCTCTTGGATATTTCCCAATAAATCTCTTGTGTGAAGTGTGACTTTGAGGTATTCCTTGGCTCCCAACTGCTAGAATACCTTCCCCTCAAATCTGCAACACTTACACCCCCCCTCCTGCTCCTCCGTCCCAGCCATCATTCTGCATTCTTTCTCTATGATTTTAAGAATTGTATCTAAACAAATGGAGTTGCATAATATATGTGTTTGTAACTGGCTTATTTCACTTAACATAATGTCCTCATGGTCCATACGTGCTAAGGTATGTGTCAGAGCTTACTTTGTTTAGAAGGCTGAATAATTTTCCTTCCTTCCTTCCTTCCTTCCTTCCTTCCTTCCTTCCTTCCTTCCTTCCTTCCTGTCTATTTGATTCCACTTCTTTGGGATAATTTCCTTTTAATTGCTGTTTCCTTTGTGGCTCTGGAGACCCAACACTGGGTCTCTCTCATGCTAAGCAAGTACTTTATCACTGAGCTAAACCTCAGCCATTTTTTAGTTTTTCGGAAGTGCTGTCCCATTGTTTTCCACAGAAGTGACACAACTTTCCACTCCCAGCAGCTGTGCTCATGGGGTCCAGTTTCTCCACCTCCTCCTAAGCCTGTCATTCCCGTTTTTAACAGAAGCTGCTCCAGTGCATGTGAGTGGCCGCCCCCTGTGGTTGGTGACCCTGGCTGTGGCAGACCCTGTGGTTAGTGACACTAGGCATGGCCACCCCCTGTGGCTCGTGATGCTGGGCGTGGCAGCCCCTGTGGTTGGTGACACTGAGTGTGGCAGGCCCTGTGGCTGGTGATGCTGGGCGTGGCAGCCCCTGTGGTTAGTGACACTAGGCATGGCCACCCCCTGTAGTTGGCGACCCTGGCTATGGCAGCCCCTGTGGCTGGTGACCCTGGCCGTGGCTGCTCCCTGTGGTTGGTGATCCTGGTCGTGGCAGCCCCTGTGGTTGGTGACACTGAGTGTGGCAGGCCCTGTGGCTAGTGACGCTGGGCGTGGCAGTCCCTGTGGCTGGTGACACTGGGCACGCGTTCAGATGTGCAGCTTAGCTTTTCTCCCCTATCTACTTTGGAGGACCCTGTCCCTGCTCTAGACACCTGGTCTGCCTGTGCCCCTCCGCTCCTTAGACTCTTAGTTTTAGAGTCCCCGCTACCACATGGCTTTCTTCATAGCATTCCTCTTTTCAACACGTTACAGAACTTACTCTTAATTTTGTTTATTGTCTGTGCTCGTTAGAGGGGCAGTTCCATGCAGACAGAGACATATGTTTGTCTGCTCAGAATCCCCAGCTCTCAGTAAAGCTTGGACAGACAGCAGTGCTCCAGGACACTGAGCAGAGTGCTTGTCGCACTGAGTCAGAGCCAGGGCCAGGCCTGCGTCCATGGCAACCCCAGCCGCCATTGGAAGGTGTGGAAGCACCTCTCCTGCAACCACAAGAGTCAAAAACTGAGATCTTACCTGTTCCAAGAACTGGATTAAGGCTTCCCGGTTACCCAGCCACTCCCGCTGCAGCTCCTCCTGCCGGGGGAACTTGTTGCAGCTCAGCTCTAGTGTGATCTCAAAGCAGTTGGTGTGGAGATAATTGAAGTCTTGCATTCCTAGGGAAGGAACCGGATGCGCCCACCGTCACCCCACCCCATCTTTCTCTTTAGTCACAATTTCTCTGCCACATCTTCATCACCTTCTCTTCTACCTCCTGACATCTGTTAACTCTTATCCTACACAGAGTTGTTCCTCTGGTCTCAGGTCACGTGTTTTTGCATCTAACTTTCCAATGAGTACTGTTAATGCAGGGTCAGACACCACACGCTGAGACAATCATTGTGATTGACATAATTAACTTAGTTAATGTAGAGATCGAGTCAGTTTGCTTTAGAGTAGAGAATTTCTGAGGAGGCACGGGCCATGCTTTCTCAGAGGACAGGGAAGGTGGGAAGGAGAGAAAAAAATAAAACAAGCACGATTTGAAAAAGCATATCTAACAATTCCGATTTGGGGGTGGGGAGGCTGGTTTTCCAATACAAAGTTAAAGAAATAGAATCTAACTGAATCTTCCTGATGTGTTCATCAAGTTGGTTTGGGGCCACAAGTCTTAATTTCTCAGTAACCCAGTGATGCCATGGCTTTTCTCCTCTCCACTCTCCCTAGGACCAAACAACAGCTCAGCCCTCATCAATACGGGTGGCTCAGATGTGAGAGTATGGGAAAAGATGGATGTGAGCAACTCCTCTATGCACCCAGCTCCTGCCCCAGCCTCTTCCTGTCCTTATGGTGCAAGGTTCACAGCACAAGCCAGTCCCAGGCAGGTGCAGGGAAGAGGTGGGGATGGGGTGGGGGAATGGGGCCGTGTGCACCCACTGCTAGATCTCCCTATTATGGAAAAATTAAAAATGCTGCAGGATCCTCGGCAACAGTAGGCAGCAAAAAATGCTGTAGGTCCCCAAGTGGTGGTAGTGGGCCATGTTGAGGCAGACAGTGGGCCCTGAGAGCAGCCAGTCCCAGGCAGAGATGGCTGCCAGTCCTGGAGCCGTGGCTGGTCCCAGGCAGGGAGACACATGGCGGGCAGACAAGAGACAGAGACATGGATAGGCACGCCATACAGAGTGAGGTTGGATATTTATTCAAGGGGGTTCTGGAGGGGGAAAGAAGAAGAAGGGGATAAGAGGGGAGAGAGAGAGAGAGAGAGACAGAGAGAGAGAGAGAGGTGGGAGAGACGGAAAAGGGGAGAAGCAGAGGAGCCAGGAGAGAGGCAGAAGCTGCCTCTTCAAGAGAGGGATGGGAAGAGAGAGAGCTCAGGCCAGAAACTGCAGATCAGCCTGCCTCAGCGGATTGGGGAGGGAGTGGGCGTGGCTTGTCTCTTAAAGAGACACAACAATCATTACACTCCCTATCTTTTGTTATGAATGATCAATGCCCATGCAAGTTCCTGCTGTGGGTATCTGACAGCCCCAGTAGAGAGAGCAGCCACCAAGGGGGCAAGCCCCTCAGCTCACCTGCTGTTGTCTGAAGCTCACCTCTGTGTTGCTTTTGAAAACAGAGCATTTAGAAGCCAGGTATTTCAACTGTTTTACTTAAAGTATCAAAATGATGAGGTGAGTGTGTTATCGGGATTAGAGACAGGAAAAACCGAAGCACAGAGGGGCCATGCAGTTAGCCTGAAGCCACACAGCTGGTGCACAAACAAGATGAATTCCAAGCCCATTTAATCTCAGAGATTTAATCATTTGGTCTCATTTTCCTCCTATGCCCCAGCAGATAAGGGCATAAAACACTAGCTGGACAGGACCACACATTATCGCCTCCTTGGTCTGTTAGGATCACAAATAGGCTATTAGATGCCAGCTGGGGAGCTCTCCAACTCTCCACCCGCCCCCACCCCCCACGGTGCAAAAATTCTACAGTATTCCCTATGAGTTCCTGAGGAGAAAACAACCGCCATTCCCAGAACTCCACTTACCCTTGCTGAGAGAGTACCAGGACGCCCCGTTGGTGATGCCGTCTGGGAAGTAGTCACCGCAGTTCCAGCCTTGGTGCATCCAGCCATGCGCGTAGGAGTAGACCTTGGCCAGCTGGAGAAAAGGCGGAAAATGACTGTGAGCAATCCTGACTCACAGCCGCGGCTCCGACTCGGCCTAACTACGGGGATGCCAAGAGGCTACAATGACACCAAAGTACATCATTTGCTTCAGTGCAAGGAAGCGTGATCAGAGATAGAGGAGGTGATGAGGTGGTGGTGGTGTGCGCACATGTGTGCATGTGTGTGTGTGTGTGCATGTGTGTATGTGCAAGTATGTGTGAATGTGAGTGTACATGCATTTATGTAAGCGAGCATTTATGTATCCGGACTGCAGTTGGGAATTCTACAGTCCTTCTTTGCCTCTCTCCCTCTCTGTTGAGTTTTTTGAAACAGGGCCTCACTCTGTTGTCCAGGCTGCCTTTGAGCTCAATCCTGCCTCAGCTTCCAGATGCTGTAATTGCTGCGAGGAGCCCTGTATCCTGGTGTTTCCACTTTCTCAGGGATAAGTCTGTCACATGCAAAGAGAGAGGTGGCAGCAGATGATACAGGAGGTCCTTTCAGTTGGACCGTTTTCTAGATGAATTCATGACAGTTAAAACATGTGTGTTGTAAAGGGATGCACATGCTTAGACTCTATGATCCCCATTACTTTTTAATGCTTTTTATTTTTCTTTTTTGTTTTTTTGAGGCATATTTCCCTGGCTGGCCTAGAAATGCCTCCTAAGTGCTGGGATTAAAAGTGTGCATCACCATGCCTGGTCTTTTTTTTTTATAGTAGACAAAATGTTATTACTGGAGGAAAAATGTATTAATTTACTGCACAGCAAATAAATGTCATTCTCTGTAATTCATTGATAAATTATAAACATTACTAATATTATCTATAGATACATTCATATTTTATGATTCAGTAAATTTTATTGCAAAAGATTATGAATTTACAAAATATATTACAAATATATAACTCTCTATATTCATCTTTTAAAAAAGGTATGTGTGTGTCTGTTGTGTGTACATGTGCCTGTGAGTGCAGTTGCCCTTGGAGACCAGACATGTCTGCTCTCCTGGAAGTGGCTTTGAGCTAACAAACATGAATGCTAGGAACAGAACTGGGGTCTTCTACAAGAGTAGCAAGAACTCTTAGCTAAAGACCTATCTCTCCAGCCCCTGTTCTATTGTTTTGTATTGTTAGTTAAATCTATTTTTCATTAAGATGGGCATATTATCATAAAGACATAAATTAGATTCTCTCAAAATTTCTATTTATTCCACTAGCTCGTGGACAGTGGACTTAGCCTTCAGGCATATTCTCACTGGGCACCAGCATAACTGTTCTTCACATCACAGCAATTATAAAATGTTTTCCTTTTATCTAATCATTCCTAGATTTATGGTCTGTCACCTGAAATAAAATATAACTTACTAGACAGTCCCTCCCAAGCAGACCCTGTTTTCTGTAACTGTCTGAGGACTTGTCACTATGGGTCCTGTGTCTCTGACTTGAATCTCTTCCCCTGAGGTTCAAGTTCCCTCACTGGGATGAGCTGCCATCCGGCATACCGTCTGGAAGAGCTGGTCATCTGGCGTGGGGGAATTGGAGGTACGGTGGGGACCTCGGAAACGATGATCAAGTGACTTGTCATATGGGTAATTGGCCACCACAGCCCCTCCATGCAGATTGGCTGAAAGAACGAAATTTAGGGAACGAATCCACTGGATCACTGCCCGGGTCTCCGGTTCCACCTGTGAAGACATGAGAATTGGCAGCCAAGGTGTGGCTAAGTTGTCGCACGGTCCTTTGGAGAAATCCTGTCAGGAAGAGGCTGACAGGGATAGTGAATCTCACCCCTCGCCCCCAGATATGAAAACTGGGGCTGGGAAACTTTGACCTTGGTGATGATGATTTCAAAATAAAGCATATGGGACCCCTTCCCAATGTGAAATGTGTGGACTACGATGCACGGGCTAGGTGCAAAGGGAGCCTCCAGGGTAGTGAGGTAGTGACTCTTCTGCGCATACGACTGCGGTGGATACTTCCAGCATGTGCGCCCACACCCACTGAGGCTGTAACACCAAGGGGAATCACTAGTAGGCCTGGAGATTGTAGATCCTGAGTGTTGGGGTCAGGTCAATGTAGGTGCAGAGACTGTAACTAATGTACCACTCTGGGATACGATGTTGAAGGGGGAGAGGAGAGGAAGGAGAAAGGAGGGGAAGAGGGAGGAAGAAGGGTGGGGGGAGAGGGGGAATGAGAGAGCAAAGGTTTCCCAGTTTATCCCGTGCAGCAGGGGTTGAGCCTCTAAAACATTTACAGTTTTAATCATATAAACCACTTGCGTGAAGCAATGACTTTGGCCTCCTCTCCCAACACTTCTGCTGCACCATTTTAGCGACACTCTGGTCAGATCTACATTTCGTCGATTAGACACATGAAGCTCTACTGAGTACCACTTTGCTAGTGACTGCCAGTGTTCGGAAAACCTTGACCCCACTGACTCCCAGCACAAACAATCCAGTCACCGGTGCTTTTCCTCCTCATAGATGAGCCTGTCTGGCGACCTCTTGGGGGCAATGAGTTAATGACTCTTCTTAGATCAAAGGTCAGTTCTAAAGGTCCTGTCTTTCCAGTCCCCAAAGGGGTTGGCTGAAGAGAGTTGGGTTTCACACAATCAGAATAGACACATCAGATGGGAATGGGTGTGTCCTAGCAATGTCTGGCGATTTCGTCATTGTACAAAGTCACAGAGTGAATTTACAGAAACTAACATGGCTACGTGACCAAGGATCACTGCTGTACATGTGACCTATGTTGGAAAAATTATCATTTTATGGCATGTGGCTATAGGACTAAGAGCTCAGGCCCTTTCTTCACATTCCAAAAGGTCCGCTTCCCATCATCCCTTTCCCTCATGGCTCTTCTATCAGAGCACAGGGGAGCTGCCACTGTTACTTTTCTCTTCCGAGTTAGGCAGAGGACTGAGGGGGAGGCTCATTATCTTGTCTAATGCAGAGAAATCAAAACACAGGGCTGCAGAGATGGCTCAGCAGTTAAGAGTTCTTGCTGCTAGCACAGAACCCAAGTTCTGTTTTCAGCGCCCATGTCAGGTCACAACCACTTGCAACTTCAGCTCCAGGGGATGTGATACCCTCTTCTGAGACTACCTGTGGCTAATGTGTACACACCCCCACACAGATACACAGACCCCCACATAATTATAAAAAGACAAATAAAGCTTTTAAAAATTCAGAGCATGGCTCATGACTATAATCAGTGGAGGCAGAGCAGGAGAAACAGAAGTTCAAGGTCAACCTCATAAAAAAGTTTGAGGCCTGCCTAGGTTACATGACACCTTGCCTCAGGAAATAAAAAATTACCTATGATATTTTTCTGGCTAGATACACTGAATAGGACCATGTCAATCTTTTCTGTACTTACTTAACTGAGCCAAAATGACAGCTATAACCAGAAATCCAACATGTCACTATGACTTTCATGTCATTTTCTAAAAAGATTTTATTTTATTTTAAATTATGTGTGGGAGTTATGGCCACAGGATGCAGGCCATCAGAAATTCCTGGAGTTACAGGCAATTGCGAGCTGTCCAGTGTGGGAGCTCTAGAAGAATGGTGGCACTTTTAACACCGAGCCATCTCTCCAGCCCCCATCACTCTCAGGGGGAAAATACCGACCCTCTCCACCCAGGAACATTCCTCTCCCCAGTCTCTAAACTTGGATATTCACAAACGGAGCGTTGGAAACATTCCACCCAGGAGAAAAGTCAGGGCTGGCAGGGATGCTCTGAGAACCACGGTGGTTACTCCCACCCAGCAGCAGGACCACACAGGTGAACAGGAGGTCCCCACCTTCACAATACCTAGGGCTTGCCAAATGCTGTCTCCCATTGAGAGCAAGGGAAGCAGGGGAGCTTTAAAAGGGTCACATAGGAGGAAAGAGGAGAAACCATGAGTTAGACACCCCGAACCTCATTCTATAGCTAACATTGTGAACATCTGATTCATCACCAGTAGGAAAGACTTGTCTATAGCATGCTGTCGGCAGTCCAGGATCAGCAGAAAGACTGTTGGGATATGAGTCAGAAGGTCTGTGTGTGTTCGTGCAGATGGGTGTGCACATGAGGGTGTGTGGGCGTGTGTAGGGAGGACAGAGGTTGAAGTTGGGTGTCTTTCTTGTTCACCCTCCATCATACATTGACATTTTTAAAAATTGTGCTTCTTTTGCGTGCACATGTGTGTGTGCACAGTCACATGTACATGGCAGCCTGATGTTGAGGTCAGATGACAACTTGCAGGAGTCGGCTCTCTTCCACCATGTGGGTTCTGGGGATCAAACTTGGGTCTTCAGGCTTGGCAGAAGGAACTTTACCCACTGGGCTGTCTCATGGGACCTAAACCTAGCTATTTGGTGTGGTTCTGAGGTTCAAACTCAGGTCCTGGTGCTTGTAGGACAGGAACTTTACCAACTGAGTCACCTCCCTAACTCATGCCTAGGTTTTAATATTAATTGTTGGGGAATATTATTTCAAGATGTGTTACATTCATCTATACTCTGGAACATTGGTTTAATGATGCAAAGGTGTGTTGGATTCTTTTATGTTGCATTTGTTTAACTCTGTGAAATTATGTTACTTTGCCTGCCTAAAACACCTGATTGGTCTAATAAAGAGCTGAACGGCCAATAGTGAGGCAAGGGAAAGAACAGCTGGGCTGGCAGGCAGGGAGAATAAATAGCAGGAGAAATCTGGGGGGAAAATTGGGAAGCAAGAAAAGAAGGAGAGGAGAACATCAGGTGCCAGCTACACAGCAAGCCATGGAGTAAGAAGAAAAGAAAGATATACAGAAATAGAGAAAGGTAAACGTCCAGAGGCAAAAGATAGATGGGATAATTTAAGTTTAAAAAGCTGGCAAGAAACAAGCCAAGCTAAGGCCAGCCTTTTATAAGTAAGAAAACATCTCCGTGTGATTTATTTGGGAACTGGGTGGCGGGTTCCCAAAGAGCAAAGAGTAAAAAATCCGAACTGCAATTGATTCCTTCGATTATTAGCTATGTAAATTTAATTGGGGCTATAAACGTAGTAACTGTCAAACAGGGCTAATGTTGGCTGCTAGTGCTTGTTACATTCACAGTCCAGTGCTATGGTGACCTGAACTGAACTGAAACAGGCTTGGGAAGAGCTCTGAGAAATCACCAAGTGCATGCTTCTCCTCCTTTACCACCACCAATGCCACCCTGCACAGTCAGTGGGGACTTGCTGCCTGCACTGTGCTGCCAGAACGAAGACTACAAAGAAGCCTGACATCTATTGTTCTTCTAGATAAATTAACAAGGAGGGAGTTGGTGTTTAATTCTTTTTTAGAAGATTTATTTTATTTATTATGTATTCTGTGTTCTGCCTGCATGTATGCCTGCAGCCAGAAGAGGGCACCAGATCTCATTACAGATAGTTGTGAGCCACCAAGTGGGTGCTGGGAATTGAACTCAGTACCTCTGGAAGAACAGCCAGTGCTCTTAACCTCTGAGCCATCTCTCCAGTCCTAATGCTTAATGCTCAATAGTTCTGTTGATGTGACGAATGCTTAGCATCCTGCAAGCAACTCCAAGTGCCAATTTACTGGCATCTGTTGTCATCTCCTACCTGACTTTTCCAGTTGTCTGGGAGGGGTAAGTGGTGGTTGGGACCGCCATACTTCTCGTTGTAGTGGAAATAGGTGTTGAGATCAGGGAAGTTGCGGTTCAGGTCCACTCCATTTGCATTGTTCCTACCAACCAGATACCCAGATGTGCTTGGGCCCTGGCAGAAATGAAGAGAGGAAAGATGAGCATTTATAACAGAATTCTGTATTTCAAGAGTATGGTGTGACTTTTAAAGATACTAACTACATTAGCTACTTTTCTATTTTTGTGATGAAATACTATGACCAAAATACATTTTTAAAAAAGGTTTTATTTTCACTTATGGTTTCAAAAAGAGAGAGGGACGGGGAGGGAGAGCGGGGAGAAGAGAGAAAGTGAGTTTATAATGGCCCAGAAAGCAGGGCATGGTTGACACACTACCATGACACAGGGCACGGTTGACACACTACCATGACACAGGGCACGGTTGACACACTACCACGACACAGGGCACAGCTGAACACTACCACGACACAGGGCATGGTAGCAGGAGCAGGAAGTTGGCTGATCACGTTTAATCACACACAGGAAACAGTGGGAGAGGAGAAGAAAGAGCGAGTCAATAAATCCTCAAAGCACACCAACAGTAAAACACTTCCCTTAGCAGGACTCGACCTCCTACAGGTTCCAAGCCCTCCCCACCAAAAGCATCACCAAGGGGGACCATGGGTTCAAATATGCGAGCCTATGGAGGAGGATATATGTCTCATTCAAGCCAACACACAGTTTATGAAATGATGTACTATTGTCGCCCTTCCCATATCCAGCGCCCCCTTGAGTGGTTCAACTGTAGATCGCCATGAAGTTCTAGGGGATCCCAGGGACGCTCTAGCGGGAGAGACTCCTAAGATAGCTTTACGGAATTGCGTGTTTTAAGAATGCAACTCAATGGATTTTAGTTTGTGAATGGAGTGGAGGGAGCACCACCATAGTCACAGTCATCCTGAAATCACAATTTTAGAATATATGTGTGTATAAAACAATAAACCTCATTCTCAGTCACAGATGCTTCTTATTTTCACCCCAGTGATAAAAAGTCATATTCTGTTTCTGCAGATTTGTCTCTCTCTGTACATATTATGTGTAGGTGGGATCATTCGTCACATGATTTGTCTTTGAGATTCACCCATGTAGCATGTATTGGTACTTCCCTCTTTATAATTTTTGAGTCATGTGGGTTCATTGGATTTTGAGTCTCCACCCACTAGTGACACAGTCAGTATATGTCAGTTTCTTAGGGCTGTTGTAACAAATGACCACAAAACCAGAGGCTGCTGATGACATCAATTCTCTCCGAGACCTGAAGGGTTAAGTTTAAAATCCAGGCTTCAGTGTGGTCATATTCTCCAAAGGTTTTGTCCTTTCTAGTTACTGGTGGTCATAGGTAGTCCTTGACTTTAAATTTTATTTATTATTGCGGGGGCACACAGGGCACAGTGTGCATCCTGAGGTCAAAGGACAACTTTGTGGAGTCGGTTCTCACCTTCCAAGCCTTATGTCGGCTCCAGGGATTAAACTCAGGTCCCTACTCTTTCGCAGCAAGTGACTTTTACCTGCTGAGCCACTTTGCCTGTCCTGTCCTTAGACGGAAGATGTCTGCCAGGAAGTCCTGTTTCCTGCCTTCCTGGCCTCCCTGGTGTGTCTGTTTCTGTGCACCTTTCTTTTTTTCTTCCCTCTGTGGTGGTTGGAATGATCCCCATAAGTCTCTGGCCTTGAATGCTTAGTCCTCAGTTGGTCCCTGCTTGGGAAGTTTTAGGAGGCGTGGCCTTGCTGGAGAAAGTACTTCACTGCGGTGAGCTTTGAGGTTTCAAAGACCCCGTCATTCCCAGTGTCTCTCTGCCTTCTGCTCTCGAATCAGGACGTGGGCTCTCAGCTGCTCCTGCCACCGAGTCTTTGCTCTAGTATCACAGATGCCAAGGCTGTGAAACTGGTAGCCCCTCCATGCTTTCTTTTGGAAGTTGCTTTGGTCGTGGTGTTCTGTGATAACAGAACAGTAGCTAGTACATCCATTCCCCAATTCTTCCCTCCAGTCCTCCCTCATGAGACAAGGTCTTACGTGTTCTTAAACTAGCTATATGGCAAGGATGACCATGAGCTTTTGAGCCTGATCCTCCTGCCTCCGTTTCCTGAAGGCTGGGACCACAGGTGTGCAGCACTATGCCTGGTTTTGTTCCTCTTATAAGGGCATCAATAATACTGGCTTTCGATTATGATTATCTAGTTTTGTGCTTTGGTCAGGGAAGCGTGTTTTTACAGGGGGTAACCATCACCACAGAGACTTAGCACCATTCAAGGTGCTAAGACTAAGTGACTGTTTGTTGATGACTTAGATGGGCCATCTGTCACCCTCCCAAGGCTCCAGAGACACCATGGAAGAGGCGGTGGTGAAACCTAAGAGGGCAGGGGAATGCCGTCTCCCAGGCTTGACATGGCTGTCAAATTAATAAACTCACAGCAGCTGTGTGTGGACGACCTGTGCAAGAGGGGGCGCTTCAAAATTCCCTAGACCCCACCCCTCTCTGATTTACAGGCAGCTGATGGTTGCTATGGAGAAAGGGCTCCCAAGCCCTGCCCCTCCCTGAAGAGCTATTGACAGTTAATGGATACTAGGGAGCTCTTTGGTGGTGCGGCCATGAGTCAAATGCTCGTGCTCCAGGAACTGACCCTTCATCCATGCTCACAAAAGCAACCTTAGTCAAACTCTGGGTCACACGCAGGAGGTAGAAAGGACAACTTTATATACATACAGGCATGAAAATGTCACCAAGAAACCCTTATGTACATATAATTAACATATGCTAATGAAACCAAATTATGAAATACTAGGATTCTTTTCCTTTGAGTAGTCTTGAATTTCTGGATCCCTTAATTTCTCTGTTCGTACTTCCAATTTTAGCTTTCTTGTTTATGTTTTCCCCCACCTTCTCATTCATCCATTTGGTCAACTGCCATTCATTACACACTGTCAACCCAGTGCCCTCTGACACTGAAAAAAGAGCTAAGTGAGATACTGTTCCAGCCTCCTAGGAATTCACAGTCACTGGGGAGCCCAACAAATACATCAATAAATACAGAGTGGTATAACAGAGATGCTTTAAAACTCCCATTAGGGCCGGGCTGCAGCTGGGGCTCAGTTGTTTAGGATGCTTGCCTGGAATTCATGAAGTCCTCTGTTCGATCCCTGGCACTGCAGAATACCACAGTGGCACGTGGTTCAGAAATTCAAAGTCATGTTTTGCTGCATAGCAAGTTCAAGGCCAGCCTGGGCTATGTGGAATCCTGTTTCCCACTGAGGGGTAAAAGGTCTGTGTGTGTGTGTGGGGGGGGAGAGAATCATTAGAATTGTTTTCTGTGTTCCTGGAGATGGGGACTAGTGTTCACTACAGTCCTACAGACTAAGTGGGTAATGCTCAAATTCTCAGTTGCTCCCGGAAGTGAGGCGAATGAACCTCACTTTCTATTGGCAAGTCAGAGATGCCGTTCAAATTTTCTTTAAGAATATTTATCATTCTCGGCATTTCCCTTTTTGCATGGGCATCCTGCTCATATGTTTTATTCTTAGACTGCACTGAAAACACTATGTTTTAAAAAGTTACCTCCATAATTTCTGTTCCAGTTCAAACATTTCTCTGACTTTTGAGCAGGGATTTTTCTCACTGCTTCTTGTTCTTAGCAATGCAGCTCTTGACTGCCACTATTAGGAGCAATGGGCTTCGTTGGTTGGTTTTGTGCGCGACTGTTCATTAGGCTGGCAAAGGAGGCCTTTCTGGGCTGTAGGTTGTGGTTTGGTATCAGGGTATTTACTTAGTATGTGTGAAACTTCTGGATTTCATCTCCAGCAATGTCCGAAAAAAGGAAGAGGACAAGAAAGAAGGGGAAACAGGAGGAGTGAGAGAGGAAGAAGAACAGGAGGAAGAGGAAGAGGAACATCACTAGCTGAAGGTTCCTGCGTTCCCATCAACAGAGCAAATGGTGTAATGAATTGCTATTGCTAAAGCGGATGGTGGTGGAGCACATCTTTAATCCCAGTACTTGGGAGGCAGAGGCAAGTGGAGCTTTACGAGTTTGGGGCTAGCCTGGTCTACAGAGCAAGATTCAGGACAGCCAGGGCTACACAGAGACACCCTATCTCAAAAAACCAACCAACCATCCATCCATCCAAACAAACAAACAAACCAAACAAACAAACCAATGGCAGCTTTCCACCCGCAGCTCAGAAGCCTGAACTGGGTGTCACAGTGAGGGACAAGACTCTAAGGGACTTGTTCCCTGACTTCCATGGTTTCTAGAAACCATTCACATTTTTAGGTTTATGGCTCTTTCCTTCATCTTCAGAGCTAGCTGCATAACACCTGAAGTGTTTTTCTACTTCCCACCCCTACCCTCCCTCTTCTACACTAAGGCCCAAAGTGGCTGGGCTCCCTTAAGAGATCTAGTAATTTTGGGTCAAATAATTAGTGACCTCAGTTTTATCTGCAATCTTAATTCTTTCTACTGAAGCTATGTAACGTTTTCATAGCTTTGGGGATTAGGATGTGAATCACCGGGGAACCATTATTCCGCTTCCCTGCAAATGAGTAGACTTCTCCCAGGGCAGCCATGCAGACAACTTTTCTCTGCACAGTAGAGTCTGAGAACCTAGTGGGGCAAGATCTCCTCCCTCTGACTAAGAACACACTAGGCAGGCAGGGAAGGGGCCACAGGGGATTTCTGTTCTCTTTTCCATCTTATCTGTTGCAAGGATGTGGGCAGCGCTGAGTTGCTTCTCCAGCTTCCCTGCTATATACAAAGAAAGTGAATGCAGGACAGGAGCCAAGCTGGATTTTCCCCTCCCCCGTCTCTAGCTTTCTCCCTTCTCCGGAATGCAAGGCCCGAGGCCTGACGTTGCTTCCTATCAGTTCTCTTTCTGTGTGTCCAGTCATTTCAGCAGAAACTGTGAGACTGAGTTAGCTTTGTGCTGGGTCAGCCTCCGGGTCCTGGTAGGGACCCTATCTGCCTCCGCTTAACCTGTTTCCAGCAGGTTTAAAATACACTTTTAACTTAATCTTCCTTCCATAAAAATATTTAAATGCAGCTTTTAAAAGAATGCACGTGCTGTGTGGACGGCAGCTAGATGCCTAGGCTTTTCTGTGACATTAGGGAGACTGAGCTGAGCTCTGGGACCCACATTTCAAAAACCCTTCCCCTGTTATTCTGACCCACAGCCACAGTGCAGGGTTTAAAGGGAGCCGCGAAGGCCCACTGCATTCCTTCATTCAGGAAATGAAGGGCAAAGCCAGGAAGCATGCTTCTGTGTGTCTCACTGCAAGAACGACTCCAGAATAAAGAACTGGAGTGTCGAGCACCACACTGGCAGAAGGCAGGCTCTGGAGAAACAGGTGCCAGGCCTAAAGACGCAGCTATGACCCAGTCACCTCCTGAGTCAGGAAGGTCCTAAGCTTGAGACCTGCTTCATGTGTTCCGGGTCTAGTCCGGGTAATTTTTCAAGTTCCTGTCTTGGAATAAAAATTTAAAAAAAGGTTTGGGAATACGGTTTGGTGGCGGAATATTTGACTAGCATGTTTAGTTTAAAGCCTCAATAGATCGGGGGGGGGGCGGGAATCATCTAGAATTAACCCCTTCCCAAGATCTGGCAAAAGTGTGTGCTTTTCTGCTAAAAGTACAGGAAGCTGGGTATTTGGTAACACCTTCTCCCAACTGCAGAATTTTACAGGTTATCTGGACTGGTGTAGGAGGCTGGAATTCAAGCAGAGCCCAGTTACCGCAAGCAAGGCATTTCAGGGATGTTAACGTTTTAACCTTTAGCTTTTGCCTTTCCCTGCACCCCAACTATTTGTCTCTCTGTCTCCCTCCCTCCCTCTTTCTCTCCTCCATCTCTCCCGCTCTCCACCCTCTATTCCCCCCCTTCTCTCTCCCTCCCTCTCTCCTCCATCCCTCCCCCCCACCGCCTCTTTTTACTGATATTTATGAAGGGACATGGGACACACTGTCAACTGACCCATTTCCTAAGATGGCTTCAGTCTCTTCAATGCACCTCCCTTGGACTGCGTACCTGTGCGGCAGCCACCTCATAGCCGTCGGGGTTCATGGAAGGCAGGATATGAATGCGTGTGTCCTGGATGAGGTGCAGGATTCGCGGGTTCCGGTTCCTGAACTCCTCACAGAGGAACTCCGACAGCTGCAGTAGCAGCTCACGGCCCAGCACCTCATTCCCGTGCATGTTCCCCACGTACTTGACTTCCGGTTCCACTGGCAACAGAAACACAACCCAGCTCTTGAAGGGGCAGGCGGGTTCAAGGCTAACTTTGGCTACCTAATGAGTTCCAGACTGACCTGGGACTCACAAGACTTTGTCTCACCCCACTCCACCATACTCCCTCCCAAAATAAAAGGAAAGAAAATCTCAGGCTTTCATTAGGTCTTTCCCAGCAACCCCTGTGTCCCTTCCTCATAAATTGCAATTGGAAAAACTATAGAAATCCATGCCTGGAATAATAATGACCACCATTTATTGAACCCCAAGTGTACTAACTGTTCATGCTCATTGTTGCTAACCTTCACAGAAAACTTGTGGAGTAGGTTCTTGAAGGAGAAAAGTATCGGATGGGGGAACTGCGAATTTCATTAATGCTATTTCATTAATCTTTTGTCTTTTTTCCTTCACATCCTTTCTTTCCCTCTCTCCCTCTCTCCTTTCTTTTTTCTTCTTCTTCCTTCCTTCCTTCCTTCCTTCCTTCCTTCCTTCCTTCCTTCCTTCCTTTCTTCCTTCCTTCCTCGTTTCTTGATTGTTTGAGACAGGGCTCTCCAAGTAACCCGGAGAACTTGCTATGGAGACCAGGCCAGCCTCACAGAGATCCTCCGGCTTCTGCTTCCAAGTGCTGGGAAGAAAGGCGTGCACCGCCACTCCCAGCCTCTTTCTCATACTTCTTTCTTTTTAGAAGGAAATGTTTGTGATAGTAAAGAGCAGGCCTTTGTCTTTGGTAAAATAAAATTTGGAAAATCTATTTAGTCTCCTCTAATCTCTTCGTTACCCAAAGCAATGTGAGACGCGGGTATAGAAGTCTCTGGTCTGGTTCACCCAACGTTGTGGTGTGTAAGGTAGGTGCTCACTAGCAAGCCCTCTGCTTTTAATTTCAATAGAGACAGAATACAACTGTTTCCCATAATAAGTGCCGCCGGCAATTAGTTTGACTCCATCTCTTGCATCTTCACACCTGCGTCTTTGTCACACACATCCCCCCCCCCCAGCCTTTCTGCGTCTGTGTGGCTCCATCTGCATCCATGCTGCCCACCCAAGACATGAAAAAACATTTATGTAAAGGGCCAGGTGGGGCCTGACGTGGAATCGTTCGTCTCTGTGGACAAGGTTATCACCCGCACAACTACCCAGCTCTTTCAGGGGAAGCCAGCACAGATAACTCAAAAACAAACGAGTGTTATGGCAGTCCATGAAACTTCACTCACCCAGACAGGGAGATAAGTGGGATCAGAAAACGATGAGAAATCCGCAAAGAATCAATAAAGGTTAAACAAACAAACAAATAAACCGAGCAACCCTTCATTCCCCAGAGCAGGCAGCTGGTCCTGGAGCTCTGTTAGTTAGCCTCCACACCAAGTCGTCTTTGAACACCTTTAAGTCAGGGCTCACAACTCCTCTGCCTAAAACACCCCAGCAGCATCTCGCTTTGCTCAAAGTAAAGGCCAAGAGGGGTCCACCTGCTTGTAAGTCCCAGACAAACTCCGGGTGCCCAGCGCTCTCAACACCTGGCTCTGACCTCAGCGCCAACTGGGCTCTGAGTCCTGGGCTGCATTTCCTTTTTCCTTAGCCCGCCAGTCCCTCTCCCTCAGAGACCTTCAGATCTCTGCTGGACACCACCTCAGCCAGAGAAGCCTTTGGCGCACTAGGGAGCTCCTCTCCTCTCCTTCCCTCTGGATTGCCACACAGCACACCTCCTCTCTTTCATATATATATATATATATATATATATATATATATATATATATATAAATGTCTTTTCCTATACATATCCTCTCACTATAGAGCCTACCCCATCTGACGTGGCAAGTGTTCACACAGTGCCCCATCTGTGACTGGTCTCAGTCCACTATAATTCAGGTCTATTAGGGAAAAACCTGCATTATTCTTTGTTTCATTTCTAAAACCTATTAAAGTGCCAGCAGGCCTGCTGGAAAGTTCTTTTTCTTTTTCTTTCTTTCTTTCTTTCTTTCTTTTTTAAATAGGGATCTCCCCCCCCTCTTTCTGGTTTATTATTTAATTGTGTGTGTGTGTGTGTTCCATAGAGTCCAGAAGAGGGTATCAGATCCTCTTGAACGAGAGTTACAGGTGATTGTGAGCTGCTAGGTGCTTGGAACCAAACTTGGGGCCTCTAGAAGAACAGCAAGTGCTCTCTAGACTGCCGAACCATCTCTACAGCCCCAACAAAAGTTCTTCTATCTAGTAGGCGATGGGTAAATATTTGTAGAATGAAGGAATGTAAGGAGCAAAGGAAAGAACTGCTAACTCAGGGGAAAAGAGGGATCAGTGAGAACCAGCATTATCTGCACCAGACTCATTGCGTGCTGGAAGTGTAGGCGTCCCAAGAAAGGGGCGTGGCCTAAGAGGCTAACTTCATCAAGACCACCAACCGCCTTAAGCTTTCGCAGCATGAACGTGATCTGCTTAAAAGCAGGGGCTTGCCCTCAAGGTCCAAATGAGGAGCAGAAGGATGAAGAAAATGAAAAAGGAAATAAGGACTGCGAGGGTTGCGATCACCCACTGATACAAGGGGACGGATCTAATGAGAGTTTACCAAGGCCAGTTGGACTGGGACTGAATGAGGACGCGATCCAACCAGATTCTCTGAATGTGGCCGGATTCTCTGAATGTGGCTGGCCCGGAGTCTTTCTGAAAAGCCATTGACAATGACACTGGGACTTGTTTCCTCTGCATATACTGGATTTTGCGGATTCCCACAGGGCAGGAAACCCTGACTGCTCTTAGGGATGTAGAGGGAGGAGGAGAGGGAGTGGGGGGAGTGGGAGGGTGGTGGAAGGAGGGGTGGAAATGGAAACTTTTATAATTTAATAAAATTACTTTTAAAAAAATAGTAAGTCCAGAACAACTATCATAAAAAAAAAAAGCAGGGGCTTGTTAGGCAAGATCCTAACCACAGGGGATCACATTGTTCTTCTTGAGCTTCCTTGGTATAAAATTTTGAAGCGGTCATGGTCAGCACTCATTGTACCTTTAAAGCAGGAGTACAAGAAGACTGTATTAGTAATGAAAGAAATGATTTTGGCAGCTCCTAGGCAAGTTGGGAGTAGACGGGTTCAGAGACTGGCCATCTCTGGATGGAAGACCCATTGGGAGCTTTGTGCAATGATTTAAATCAAGTTATAAAGAAGAACAGAGCGGGGCTGGGGTGTGGGAGGAAGATGAAGAGATTTGCTGTTGACCATCTGAAGAAGGAACTGATAGAGCCATGTGACTTAACTCAAATGCCATCAACAAAGCAACAAGAGGCTAGAGTTGTCATCAATGTTCATGGATATGTGAACGGTTAATGAAACCAGGCAACAGCATATTACACAAGAAAGAATGATGCCATGGATCTGCGTTCATAGACACAGGCGAGGAGCCAAGGGAGATAGCTACAGTGAATTCCAGTTCTGTGAGAAGACACATGCATTTGAAAGGTAGGCTTGGGTATTGCTCTGGAAGGAGCGATTTCCATCTACGTAAGTAATATTCTTGAGTTAGGATTGTGCTTCAGCTTGTTACTTTTTCCTTCTGCAATTTCTAGTGTTTTCAGTTGATTGGTTGTTTTGCGATGGAGCTTTTTTATGTTGCTTGGCTGGTCATGAACTATTTTCAAAGCAAACATGGATTGCTTTGGTGACAGAAGCAAACTAACAAAAAAGAAAACAAGAGTCCCAACGCCCAAACTCTCTCTAGGACACCGTGCTGGCTCCCTGCCGTTCCTGGAAGAGATGTACCTGACCCCTCGGGAGAGCTAGGAGGTCAACCATTTCTGCTGTGCTCCCAGGCTGTTGAATCCTGACAGAAGGAATAAGAGAAAAAGACCAGGGGTGTGAAGGGAGGGAAGGTAAGGTGGGGGGAACAGAAGGAAAACACCCTTTACCCCTGAAGTCTCTAGCAAACAGAACCCAGAAAGGAGGAATGAGCCAGAGTCTGAACTGGGGTCACATCTCCCAGGGTCCAGGGAAGCTTAAGAGCCAGGTAGGATAGCCTGCCTTCTGAGGTGGAGGAAGAGGTAATGCATTGTATATGGAGGTCTCCACTGGAGCAGCAACTACCATCTCTGAATTTGTAGGTGTTAGTTTCCCAACACACCCCAGAACTACTCAAGACTTACAGGGCTCATGGATCCCCGGGTGGTCACTGAACTCCAGCACGTAGAGGTACCTCCCCTTCACGCTGCGCCCGATGTTGTAGAGCCGCGTGATGTCCGGGCATTGGTTGTGCACCCTGTACAGCGTCCGCACGAGGTCATCATAGCGGTGGTGACGAAAGGTCACGGGGGCAACTAACTTGGAAAGAAGGAGGAGGGGCAGGAAGGCTGAAGGTAGGTCTGGCATCTCGCTGAGCTTCCCAGCGGCTGTGAAACGTGCCCCCTACTCTCCAAGCAATCTTCTGACAGTCAGGATCCAGAGCCAAGAGCGGCCAGGCCTCGCACCTGCCACACCTGCGGCACCTGCAGCAGACTGGAGACCGGGCCTCTGCAATGCTGAAAATTATTTCTGTGGCCCTGGGATAGCCACGATGGCCCCGGGGCTCATTTCTCTTCTCCTCCTAAGCCTAGAAAACCTTTTGGAAGGGTTCTGCGCATCTCCACTTGGCGATTCTGGCTTACTGATTAACTGGACTGTAAACAGGCCTCCAGAAACAGCACTTTATAACCCTTTGATTCCCGGGGACTTTTAAAAAACTCGGCAAGTGCTTGTACCAACTTAGAAATGGAGCAATCTGTCCCCTCCCAGCCACCCTGGCCCTGCCCTTGCGTCCTATTCTGAAGCACCATTCTGTCTTGTCCTCCCCACTCAAAGATCCTAAAGGTAAGGAAAAACAACTTGAGAAAATGAGACACCTGCTTGGAGCAAACAATTGGACATCACATCTTTGATAATGTATCTGTAATTAATAAACGATTTGTAACACAACGCTAGCAAGACTAGGAAGACAGTCCTACTTCAACAGCAACAAAGGACTCTGAGAGCTCAGCAAATTAGAATAATAATTAGCAGATGAGATTACATCAAACTGAAAAGTTTCTGCATAACCAAGAGTACAGCCTACAGAACACGAGAAAATGTTTGCCAAATAGTAACCCAATAGAGAATTAATATGCAGAACTTAAGGAACTTGGAAGATGAAACCCATGCTGGAATGCACTGACACACATCTGTAATTCTAGCACACAGAAGCTGGAGGACTGCTGGTCTATGTAGTGACTTCCAGGCCAGCCAGTGCTATCTGATCAGACCTTGTCTCAAAAAACCTAAATAGGTGCTAGAGAGATAGGTTAACAGTTAAGAGCAAAGGCTACTTTCCAAACAAAATAGACTTCAAACTAAAATTAGTCAAAAGAGACAAAGAGTCACAGGAAAAATCCATCAAGAGGAAATCTAGATACTGAACATCTATCCCCCAAATATAAGGGCACCCTCATACATAAAAGAAAGGCTACTAAAGCTTAAATCACACATTAAACCACACACACTAATAGTGGGAGCCTTCAACACCCCACTGTCACCACTGGACAGACCTGCCAGACAGAAACTTAATAGAGAAATAAGGGAATTAACAGATGTTATGACTCAAATGGACTTAACAGACATTTATAGAACATTCCATCCAAACATAAAAGAATACACCTTCTTCTCAGCACCTCATGGAACCTACTCAAAAATTGATCACATTATAGGTAACAAAGCAAACCTCAACAGATACCAAAATATTGGAATAACCCCATATATCTTATCATATCACCATGGCTTAAAATTAGAATTCAATAGCAACACTAATTTCAGAAAGCCCACAAACACATGGAAATTAAACAGTGCTCTCCTGAATCACAAATGGGTCAAGGAAAAAATAAAAGAAGAAATTAAAGATTTCCTAAAATTTAATGAAAATGACCACACAACATACCCAAATTTATGGGACACAGTGAAAGCAGTGTTAAGAGGAAAGTTCATAGCACTAAATGCCTACATAAAAAAACTGGAAAAATCCCACAGTAGTGAGTTAACAGAACACCTGAAAACTCTAGAACAAAAGTAAGCAAACTCACCCAGGAGAACTAGACAGCAGAAAATAATCAAATTGAGAGCTGAAACCAACAAAATAGAAACAAAGAAAATAATACAAAGAATCAATGAGACAATGAGTTGGTTCTTCAAGAAAATCAACAAAACAGATAAATCTTTATCCAAACTAACCAAAAGGTAGAGAGAGAATATCCAAATTAACAAAATTAGAAATGAAAAGGGGGACATAACAATAGACACGGAGGAAATCCAGAGGCTCATCAGATCATACTTCAAAAACTGTACTTCACAAAATTGGAAAAGTTAAAGGAAATGGACAATTTTCTGGATATATCACTTACCAAAATTAAATCAAGACCAGATAAGCAAAATAAATAGACCTATAATTGCTAAAGAAATAGAAACAATCATCAAAAGTCTCCCAGCTTAAAAAAAAAAAAGCCCAGACAAACTCAGAACTCTACAAAATTTCAAAGAACAAATACCAACACTCCTCAAATTATTCCACACAACAGAAACAGAAAGAACATTGCCAAGCTCTTTTTATGAGGCTACAATTCTCTGATACCTAAACTACGCAAAGACATTACTAAGAAAGAGAAGTATGAACCAATCTCACTCATGAACACTAATGCAAAAATACTCAATAAAATACTGGTAAACTGAATCCAAGAGCACATCAGAAAAATCATCCACCATGACCAAATTGGCTTCATCCCCGAGATGCAGGGATGGCTCAACATATGAAAATCTGTCAATGTAATCCACTAAATAAACAAACTGAAAAAAAACCACATGATCATCTCATTAAATGTTGAAAAAGCTTTTGACAAAATACAACATTCCTTCATGATAAAGGTCTTGGAGAGAGCAGGGAAACAAGGAACATACCTAAACATAATAAAGGTCATATACAACAAGCCAACAGCCAACATCAAATTACATGGAGAGAAACTCCCAGCGAACCCACTGAAACCAGGAACAAGACAAGGTTGTCTATTCTCTCCATATCTATTCAATATAGTCGTTGAGGTTCTAGCTACAGCAATAAGACAATAAAAGGAGATCAAGAGGATACAAATCAAAAAGGAAGTCAAACTCTCACTATTTGCTGATGATATGGTAGTTTACATATGTGACCCCAAAAATTCTACCAAGAAACTTCTACAACTCAAAAACACTTTCAGTAACATAGCAGAATACATGATTAACTAAAAAGAAATCAGTAGCCTTTCTTTATATAGATGATAAAGGGTTGAGTAAGAAATCAGAGAAACATCACCCTTCACAATAGCCACAAATAACATAAAGTATCTTGGAGTAACTCTAACCAAACAAGAAGACACCCAGAAATGGAAAGATCTCCCATGCTCTTGGGTAGGTAGAATTAGCATAGTAAAAATGCCAGTCTTACCAAAAGCAATCTACAGATTCAATGCAATGCCCAGCAAAATTCTTCACAGACCTCAAAAGAACAATGCTCAACTTCATATGGAAAAGCAAAAAACCCAGGATAGCCAAAACAATCCTGTACAACAAAGGAACTTCTGGAGGCATCACAATCCCTGACTTCAAACTCTACTACAGAGCTACAGTACTGAAAACAGTCTGGTATTGGCATAAAAACAGAAAGAAGGACCAATGGAACCGAATCAAAGACCCAGATATCAATCCACACACCTACAAACACCTGATTTTTGATATAAAAATATAAATGGAAAAAAGAAAGCATATTCAACAAATGGTACTGGCATAACTGGATATCAAGATGTAGAAGAATGAAAATAGGTTCATATCGATTGTCATACACAAAATTCAAGTCCAAGTAGATCAAAGACCTTAACATAAAATCAACCACACTGAACCTCATAGAAGAGAAAGTGGGAAGTACTCTTGAACGTATTGGCACAGGAGACCACTTCCGAAATATAACCCCAGTAGCACAGACACTGAGAGCAATAATTAATAAATGGGACCTTCTGAAACTGAGAAGCTTCTGTAAAGCAAAGAACATAGTCAATAAGACAAAACAGCACCCTACAGAATGGGAAAAGATCTTCACCAATCCCACATTGAACAGAGGGTTGATCTCCAAAATATATAAAGAATTCAAGAAATTGGTCATCAAAAGAACAATAATCCAATAAAAATGGGGTACAGACCTAAACAGAGAACTCTCAACAGATGAATCGAAAATGGCTGGAAGACACTTAAGAAAAGACTTAACATCCTTAGCCATCAGAGAAATGCAAATCAAAGCAACTTTGAGATTCCATCTTACACCTGTAAGAATGGCCAAGATAAAAAACACTGATGACAGCTTATGCTGGAGAGGATGTAGGGTAAACGGAATACTCCTCCATTGCTGGTGGGAGTGCAAACTTATACAGTTACTTTGGAAATCAGTATGGCAATTTCTCAGAAAATTAGGAAACAATCTACCTCAAGACTCAGCAATACAACTTTTGGGTATATATCCAAAGGATGCTCAATAATACCACAAGGACATGTGTTCAATTATGTTCATAGCAGCATTATTTGTCATATATAGATCCTGGAAACAATCTAAATGTCCCTCAACTAAAGAATGGATAAAGAAAATGTGCTACACATCAGAAAAAAATAATAACATCTTGAAATTTGCAGGTAAATGGATGGATCAAGCAAGCATCATAATGAATGAAGTAAACCAGACCCAGAAAGACAAATATAATATGTACTAACTCATAAGTGGCTTTTAGATATAAAGCAAAGAAAAACCAGCCTACAATTCATGATCCCAGAGAACCTAGACAACAAAGAGGATCCTAAGAGAGATATACATGGATTTAATCTACATGGGAGGGGATATGGGATTCCCCTCTGTATGCTGTGAATACCATTGGTTAATAAAGAAACTGTCTTAGGTCTGTGCAGGGCAGAATATAGGTAGGTGTGGAAAACTAAACTGAATGCTGGGAGAAAGTAGGCGGAGCCAGGAGAAGCCATGTAGCCCCGCCATAGACAGAAGCCAGAATTTTACCTAGTAAGCCACAACCACGCGGCGATACACAAATTAATAGAAATGGGTTAAATTAAGATGTAAGAGTTAGTCAATAAGAAGCTAGAGTTAATGGACCAAGCAGTGATATAATTAAAACAGTTTCTGTGTGGTTATTTCGGGGCTAAGCAGGCTCCTACAACAGGGAAGTAGAAAAAGATAAGATCTCCTGAGTAAATTGGGAGCATGGGAATTATGGGGGAGGGTAGAAGGGGAAGGGGGAGGAAGAACGGGTAGTGGAGAAAAATATATAGCTCAATAAAAACAATTTATAAAGAATAAAACTATGTTGCTTTCAAGAAAGAGATGGAACTGGTGATTATACGATATTAAGTGAAATATGCCAGATTCAGAAAGTCAGTTATTAAATGTTTTTAAATCATGTGTAAAATCTTACTATTTTAAGAAGACATTAAGCTAGGTGGTAATGGTGATTGCCTTTAATTTCAGCACACGGATGCTGTGAGAAGGTTTACGGCTAGTAACTACCTACCTACTAGACGTGGCCT